CACTATCTATCTACACCAATTTATCTGCGTATAACTTTTCAAGCATTATCTTATAATAACTATACATGAGCCTATATAAAGTAGAAGTTGAAAGGAGTAATGACTTTTATTCCGATTAATGGCTAGTTTATTGTCTAAGCAGTGATATCAGTATAGTCCTGCATAGTAGAATACTAAAAGACATACCATTCCAGTTGTACATATATACATATTGTGCGTTCATACAGATTGAATGTAAATAAGTGCGACATTTCAGCGAAAACCTGTTGAATAGTTAAAATAAATTTTGTTTTTCAGCCTAAGGTTAATTTTCCTTTTAATTTTCCAATTTTCTACCATTTGATTCCTTTAAAATAAATTTTAATCAAATATTTTTTAGCTCATTTTTCTCTTCATTCTTTATTTAATAACACAAACATATGCATAAGTACATATACATACATCTGTATAAATACTTTAGTACATTGTTATGATTTATGCAATGCATAAGTAGTGTTATATTGCAAATGCACTCGCATACCATAGAGTTAAATTTAAATGCAATTATTACGCATCACAGGAAAGGTATGTACCTATTTTACGTTTATCAACAAAACACACATTTCATTTACATTTACCTACAGTGAATCACAATACTACCAATATTTTATACAAAATAAGAAAAATTCAAAAATAAATAAAAAGCGCATTTTAATTTCGACCCTCATTTTTCACAAATAAAAATTAAATTATTATGTTGGCTGTTGTGTTCTGAAGAACCCTTATTGTTCATAATTTATTTTTTTTTTTCGTCAAATAGCACATACGTATAACAAAAACAATTGCTAAAGTTTAGGGAAAAAAAGTCACCAGGATAATACAGTATAGTGGCATAATACAGATAAAATACAAGCCTGTGTAGTGTGTGTGTGTTGGTAAATGATAATTATTTCGCAATAATGCTGTGGCGTAAAAAAATATTTGTATGCAAAAATAATGATGGGAATAAATAGTTGGTCGTATCAATACTGCGGTACTTAAACGTGACTCATGTAAGATAAAAAATATATTCAAATTATTTTTAAAGGTGTTTGAGAACTACTGTTATATATACTAGTATTTAATATGAGTTCAAAGCAATTTCTTTCATTAGTACAGATAGACAGATAATCATACAGAGATCGCTTAATCGAATCGGATTTCGACAATAAATAATAGTAAATATGCGTATGTATGGGTTTGTATATTATAAAAATGGCTAAATTAAAAATTCCTTTATACAAGTAAATTATTTAGATATGCAATTGACGATGACTGAAACAACTATGGTGGGAGTTAAAGTATTTTCAGGATTTCAAAATTTTAAAGACAATTAAAATTTAAAAATAAATGTGTTCAGACAGACGTCAGAAGAAACTAGTTCCTTTAATTTCTGGAAGTACAAAACTGTTATACACCACCAATGAATTTTACTCAAACTATTCGATTTTTTATTATATTCGTAATTTTTTGATTACTTTAATCGTTAATTTTAATAATATTGTAAAAATCAAAATACTTTTGTTATACCAAATTCTACATAATTGGTAAATTAAACTAATTTTATGGTTTAATTTTTTAAAAAATTAAAAAACTTTCATCTAATGAGGTTCATTAAACTTTCTCAAAATTAAAAACACAATTATAAAATCAAGAGTAAACGAGCTCATAAAAATTTATAGCAAATTATAACAATGCAAATGAATCAAATTATTTGGACAATAAAAATGTGATTTATATAAGAAAACTAAAATTGCAACAACACAAGAAATAATAATGGGGAATTACCAAATTTTCGAAATATTTTCCAAATTTTCAAAAAAAAAAAATAGTTTCCTATTAAAAAACCTACAAAATATTAATGGAAATGATTAAAAATATTTTGTCATCAAAATTTCCGCAATTTAAAAATATTTAAAACATTTTACGAAAATTAATACCAAGTTGTTGTTGCCAAAACTGCAAAAAGATTGAAGAAAAATTTTTGCGCCGCCAAAAAAGAATTTTTTTTTTTCGTAGACAGTTTGCATTTTTTTGTTTTTGTAGTGAAAGTTTTAATTTTATAAATTTTTATTATTTTTTTTTTTATTTCACTATTTTTAAAAAATATTCTAAATTTAGAATTTTTATTTCGTTGCACATCACTTTTTTTTGCCTTACGTTGTTCGACAAAAGGAAATTATTTTCTTAATTTTTTTTTTATGTTTTTTTGGCAATGTTTACTCGTCTGTATTAAAATAAAACAGAAACTAAATCTGTGGCGACTTGAAATAGTTGCTTAATTATAAAAATAAAATTTTTGCAAAAAAGTCTACTTTTGATGTAACTGTTATACGGGGTGTATAACACCATAGTTGGTGTCTATATTCGGTGCTTGAAAACTAAAACTATAAGAAATATTTTTAGGAATTTGTAATGAATCAAGAAAATCGGATTATATTTTGAGATTATAGTGGCAATGAATTATAATATGTATAACAAATATCTAGAGAAAATGGTTCTAATTTAATAAATTGCAATTTCATTCAAATTTTTGAATTATTACTTATTACCACAGAATTTATAAATATTTCAATTTGAGTAAATTTTCATTTCATTTCCAATGTTTATAGTTTCAGAAATACAAAGAAAAAAATTTAAAAAAATTATGCGATTTAAAAGGTTATTTGTCTCCCTTTTTAGATTCTGACAGCAATAATTTGTTGTCACATTTCTAACATTATAAATATTTTTGGTATAAAATTGACAAGCAATTTAAAAAATGAAAATTAATTATTATTTGAAAATGGTTAGGTACTAAGTTCTTCAATAGTGAGAATATGAACATTAATACGTGTTGTGTTCGATAATGAATATAAATGCTTGCCCGATATCCCGAGTTTTCGGGCAAATATTTCCTGTAATGAGTTGGAATTACGATATCCCGACTTTTTGTGCAAATATTTTCTGTAATGAGTTCGAATTCTAATAAATTCTCTTAAAGTTCCCAACAAATTTTCAGTTTATCAAAACACACTCGGATACTATCCATTATTCGAACTCCAATTTTCTAAATTGTCTTAATGTAAACGAGATTAGAAATTCGTCAAAAATTGCGAGTTTTTACTCTTGTTTTTAAGAATTTCGTTGCTTAACTATACATAAAATTAACATAGAAAGTTGATTAATTGATTATTCAAATTTTAGCTATTCAAATCCTAAAGACGCTTATCATTTGCATCCATTCAATTAAGCAAGTATATGAAAATTCAAATCTTATAAGGAAATAATAAATTTTTTCTGAAATCATTTTGTATTATTCCCAATATACTTTCATTTTTAAGTGAAATTCTATGATAGCATGATAGAAATACAAGCCCCTTTTACATGCCATATATTTACTTGTTATATTATGTATTACAATATGAAGTAACTAATATTACGTATATACGTGATTGCATACAAGTATGCATATTCAAAATGCAAAATCTCTTGCATTGTTAATATTTAACATAAAACATTTGCATAGTAAATATCTTTATGTACATACATATACGCTTATTTATTAAATTAAAATGCATATAACAAGTTAAAAAAAACCTTTATTGCTTTCTTAATTAAATTTATTATTTTTTTTTTGAATTTCCCACGTTAAAATTTTTAAATAGATGTACTTATATGCCTATACGTACATTTTTGGAAAACAATGGTTACTGAAAAATTAAAAATCGCAAAAAGAAAATTTAAAAATGTTTTACAAATTTTACAAGAAAAAGGTGTTCTACATATAATACTTATATATTGAAGCGAAAAAATAGGTGCATTTTAGTTAAATGCACTTAACTTTTAGACTTTTACCTTAATGTAGATGAGTATGGGTACTTATTTAATTAAGAGTTTATGATATTTTCACATAATTTGTATGAGAAACGAAATCTTTATTATTAATAGAGAATTTGATAAATTTCATAGAAAGTTTTACTCATAACATGTCCGAGTTCAAAATCATAATTATTTAAATAATTAATTGTCAAATAATTGAGACTTACAATGACTTGAACTTTTGCTATAATTTTATAGCTTTTAAACGGTATGAAGTAATAATTCAAGAAGACGTACATTCAAAGTTAAACAATTTTGAGATTTGACAAGAAAGTAGTAAAGAAACAATTTTTTAACTTACATTTCGGACTTGAATTCAATTTATTTCTTGTGTATAACAATTTTCTTTACTAACAACGGTAAATAAGGTAATTAAACCATAAACATTAGATAAGTTATAATTGTTAACAATGTTGTTAGTTGAAGTAAATTGGATATGGTCACGTTATAATTTATATATTGAATAAGATGAGCTGAGAAATAGTTAAATTAAAAGGCATTGTAAATATTTTACATATATTAGAAATATTTTAGCTATAGTGTGACCATTTGGATTCACTCATCATGAGAAACACATTATTCAACAAAATCTCTATAATTTTCTTATTCCACATCATTATTCCTTAATGTTCCAATGTATAAGGATGTGAAATAAATGTACAAGCGAACAAACTTTAAATTTAATTCGCTAATATTTTTATAATATTGCCACAATGGTCACCATAAATTCAAATTTTATATTGTATATCCTTTAAAAATTATTAGGGTTTTAAGTAATTTTCTAAAATTCTGAATAATAAAATCCAATATTCTGATTTAAAAATTTAAATAAATTCTCAAATGGACATACAACAGCATGAAACAAAAAAACAATCTCTAAAAAAAAGGGGTTATTAAAAAAACAAATAAAAAAAATAAATATTCTCATCCAGCTTAATAAGGGTGTATTTATTTTAAAACCCTTACAGTATATATCATTGTATGAGTATAACACTATATAAATACATGAGTATAACAGTTTATAAAAACTGTTATACTCATTGAAAATCCTATGAAATAACGAAAAAAAAATAAATTGAAGAGGTCATTTAACAAAATAATAATATAAAATAAAAACTTACGTTGTTGTTGTACCACCCCTTGGCATTTTGCTTCTTCTTTCACGCATTAAATAATTCCAAAATTAATTAAAAAGAATAGAAACAAAAAAGTTTCAATTTCAAAAATATTATGCAAAATAAATATTATTCTTTTTTATATTATTTTTTAATTTTAGTTTTAACACAAAATTGTAATATTAATATTAGTTCTCTAAAATTTAAATTATAAAGAAAAAAAAAATATACAAAATTAGAAATATTTAAAAATTAAATAAAAAATAAATTAAAATTTTTTTTTTAGTAATTTCAATTGATTTTATTAAAATTTATAAATTATGAAAATATATTATTAAAATTTATAAATTTAAATATATAATTATTATAAAATCAAAAATAATTAAAAATATCCAAAAATTTATAATAAAAAAACAAAATTAATTAATAATAAAATTTTTTTTTAATTTTTAATTTTCAATTAATAATTCTTGCCGTGACTGTTTTATACAAATTTTACTATCGTAATTGTTTACGTATATTTAAGTAAACTGTTATATTCTATATTTATATGGCATATAAATGTATGTAGGTGTGTGATTACAAATGTAAACTACTTAATTTTTATTTGGTTTTCCTTTATTTACTAATTTTATTCAAAATTTTCTTTTTCTATTTTATTTGTTTTGCTTTATTATTTTTTTGTTATCACTGTTAATTTAATTCACCTTGAAAAAGATCATATAATTATTATTTTATTAAATTTGTTATATATATTATGTACGTATGTATGTATGTGTTTAAACAAATAAATAAATAAACAAACATGGATTCTTAACGTCAGACTCTTGGTACGTGCCTGCGTAAATGAAAAATTTCAAATTTAATTGAGATTTAATTAAAAAAAAAGTACCTACGCAGGACAATTAAATTTTATTTTAAAAAAATTGAGAAATAAAAATTTATTTTAATTAAGTAATTCTTAATATTATTTTTGTTAAATATTCTTTTAATTTTTAATTAACAAATTTTAATAAATTTAAATTTAAAATTTGAAAGAATTTTTTTAAGTGAAAACGAAAATAATAAAAACCTCGTGATTTTAAAATCAATAGAACAGAAAAATTTTTTTTTTTTTTTTTGTTATTTTTTTTTTGTGCTATTGTACCTAAAGAATCAAATAAAAAGGTAGATTTAAAAAAAAAATTACATTTATCAAGTGACGGAACAACGGTGATAATACGTAAATAAATTCTCTTATTTTTTTAATATTAAAACTCTATGCTAAACACTATAATAATACACGAACAACACACTCTTTTAATGTTCACGATCAGAAATCTACTGAATGACTGACTAAACAGCAAATTTAAGATCATATGAGGAGAACAAAAATTGAAATGATAAAAATTGTAGTACAATATTTTGTTGTTATGTTATTCTTAATAATGATGTAGTCGCCTTAGATATGACTGCGACAGTGTGGCAAGACAATTATTGATGGCAACAAATAATAATATTTTAATTCTATATTGTTTATGTTTGATTTTGAACAGTTTATACACAATTTGTATGATTAGAGTACGGAGAAAATACTGTTGTTGAGTGTTGCGTTTTTTGTAGATTTTTTGAGAGCAAAATTTAGTGTTTATAATTTAGTGTAAAAATTTACTTGCAAAAAATTATTTGAAATAGAAGAGAAAATATGAAATTTTGTAAAATTGAAACATATTGTGTGTTGTGTTGAATTTGAATATTTTATTTTTAAATATTTTAAGTGTTACCGTTTTCTTATAAAAATATTATATAAAAAATTATGTGTTTAATTCTTGTTAATTTCATAGAATAAATTTGATTAATTAATCGGTAGAGGGGCTTTAATTAAATATGAAATTATTTAAACAATATTTAAATGGTAATCTTTAATTGAAATCATTTTAATTATGTAAAATATAAAAAATTTTCCCAATATTGTATAATAATATTAATCAAATATTTTGAGTTTTATTTCCTCATTTTTCATATTAATAAAATTTTATTTTTTATTGACAATAATATCAGGTTCGAAGTGTCAGTGACATATTTGTGGTTAACATCAAATAAAAGTTTAAGCATCATAACTGTATATGTAAAAATAATCACATGTTTTTAAGTTAACCTCAAAAAATTCTAATTAAATCTTATATTTGCTAATAAAATCTTAGATATCAAGTCTTATCTAAATTTTTTTTTTTAATTTTTTTTTTTATTTTACGAGAGATAAGATTTCTTTAACCTAGGAAGAATGATCTGTACTATTACGTAAATAGTTTATTAAGATGTGAGTACATATGTGTGTATGAAATGTGTGTGTAACATGGGGTTGGAGTTGGAAATTGTTTTTTTGTAAGAAAATCATCAATTTAAACCAAAAGACAATTTCTATATAACAGTTTGCATAAATATTTGATCACCAGTACCAATATTTATTCTATATTAATTTTGTTTATTTTAAATAACAATTAAAAATTAATTAAAAAATGTTTACCGAGAATGAGATAAAAATGTAGGTCAATTTGAATTGCTATACAATTAGATCGTGAACCTTATAATCCGTATGTAATTGTAACAGAAAATATTCTTCAAAATTCCCAAAAATCCACAAAAATATTGAATTTGTTTTGGTTTTACTCTATCTACATTCACCCTGTGTGCTTATACTAAGAAAATATTTATAAAATGTTGCCTATGAGTAGGTGTAGTTTAAAAATTAAATTATTTATAATATAAAAATTATTTACAACATCCTTAATAATTTTAATAATTTTATAGTAGAATTGCTAATAGAATTATTATATAATTTGTTTGAATTATTCAATTGTTTCTATGTAAGAAAAAGAACAGAAAACAAAATGGAAAATATTTTCTTCTACTTAATCTTATTGTTGCTTTTAAAATAATTGAAATATGTAGAATTTTTTTTGTACTTATAAAATTATAAACAAGATTAAGAAGAAAATAAGAAAAATAATAAGAAAATAAAAAAAAAATAAATAATTTTTCTAAATTGTAAAACTAATTTTATAATTTAGAAAAAAAAATTCTTATGTTTACACATTAAGTAAATAATAGATAAAAATTAAAATCAAAAAACAAAAAAAAATATTAATAAAAAATGATAAATAAAAATTTTATTCAAGATCAAAAACCACAAACATACTACAGGACTACAAATATGATCAAAATCATACGGTATGATCTTGGTGTATGATCAAACATTAAGAGAGAATTTAATTTAAATTCATAATTACAATTTATTAATCTCTTATTATCAGAGGGAAATTTTCTCATTTTTATTTTACATTCGAATATTGTGGTGTGGCTGTTGTGTTTATTTACTTAATAATACCACAATTTTGTAGTAGAACAAAATAAAAATTTATGTTTATTAAAGGAAAATATTTATTTTTTCTTATCAGAAATTTTATTCTTAAAGCCTGATCGTATATCTCGCTTTTTTATTCACTCTTTATTCACTTTCCAATCAGAATTCTCAGTATTTTCTAATGGATGTCTCACTTTTCCAAGAAGATTGCTCATTTTTTCAGTTGAATTTTTGCATTTTTTCTCAAATTATAATGTGAACGTCTCACTTTCAAAAACAAAGTGAATAAAATTTTGTATACATTTTGGAAAATAAACGAGATACGAAAAACAAATAATTCTTCTCACTCAAAAATTACATTATACAAGTATAGGGCATTTACTCATTTTCTTCTCACTTTCCGAGTAGAATAGCGAGATAGACGATCAGGCCCTAAATAAGATTTATAATTTTATAGTGAGTGTTTTGAATAATTTTTCATGCAAAATAATTTAAAATTGAGTACCAGTGAGTAATTTTATTTTAAATTTTAGACTACATTTTGACTTCTTGACTCACTAAGTGCGTTTGAAATTTGAATATTTAAGGCTGCTTTAATAATAAAAACTTCAATACTTTTAAATGATAATTAAATTCTAATCGCCATCTAATTTACAATTTTTATGACATGAAAACAATATGGCAATAATTAAAATCTAAAATATCATCATATGAATTTTTATATTTTTATAACAACATACAATTATACACACACACATACAGCTAATGTTTTCCATTTACATAAAAGTACAATTCCACAAAACCCACCTTATTCTTTATTTCGTTTAACCTTTCCAATTTAAAGTTACTTAAAATTTATTCAAAATTTTTATTTTTATCTCTTTTACACAAATTTTTTATATTAAAGTTGTTGTTGTTGTTTTTTTCCGCGGAAATGTGCCCATCAAAATTACATTCAGGCTGTCAAGACCAAAACGATAACGAACGATAATTATTATCCTAATTTGGTTGAGTCATATATCCTTTTTGTGATTCCTTTTAATTTCCTGTTCTTTTTTTTTTTTATTTTAATGTTCTAATTTTTATAATTTTTATATTTTTATTTTTTATCTCTGCTTACGATTGTTCTTATAATAATAAAAAAATGCCTAAAAGGCTCAACAATTTCAATAAGAACAACGTTGGAAAAATGAAAGAAAGAGAGAGAGAGAAAAAAAAAAAGGACAGAGATAAAAAAGAAAAATTGAGACCGTCACAATAAAATGAAAATAATAAAATTATACAGAATGCGAAAATTAAAAAATAAAATGGGAAAAATTTTTAGGATTAAATTGAAATATAAAACTGGAAACCGCCTTTTGTTTTCATTGCACAACCAAAATGAAATAATTTTGTGGTTTAATAATTCTGGCCAACTTAAAGTTAAAATTATTCTAGACTAGAATTGGTTTATGTGTTGCCATTCTACCAAAAAATTCTTAAATAAAAAATGAATTCATTTCGCTTCATTCCGTTTTTTCAAATCGTTTCAGTTTTAAAATGAATTGCTTTCGTGGTGAATAAATAAAGTCTTACTGAAAGTTGGAAATTTACCACTTTTGTTTACTTAACGGAACAGAGAGAATGAAAGAATTTTGAAAATGAGAAAATTATTTCAAAATCAAATCATTTTTGTTTCTTATTCTTTCAAATTTCATTTATAAATGATTTATGTAATTTATACCGGTAGAAACTAAACAATTGTGAATGATCTTTTTTCAAACTCTTATCGAAAAGAGCATAATTAAGAGAAAATTTCAACTCATCCAGTTTATTTATAGATAAAGAGGGAAATTGAGAAAAGAAATAGGGAAATTTATAACTGTTCCTTCTTATATTTTAAATTTTCAATAAAATGTTATATAAAGTATATTATATTGTGAATGGTAATCTAAAATCACAATGATTTTCAGTTTGTATTTATAAAGAGAAAATATATACCACTATAAATGGAAGGGATATTTCTCTTTCCTTTTTTTTAAAACCCGCAGTTATTAATTATAATTTTTTTTTAAATTGCTTTTTATTCTTTTTTTTTTTGTTTATAAGCTTGAATGTTCTCTTTTTATAAAAGAGAAAATAAAAATCAGTATATTTTTAAAAAGTTCCCCTTTAAGCAAGAATTCCCTTTTATGTTTTCCGTTCAAATTTTGTTTCAGCGAACTAAAAAAATCATGATTTTTAATGATTATAATGATAATGATATCAAAATGATAATAATTATTAGCAATACCGTTGGCTATAATATATGAATATGCTATCATAAATACGTAAATCATAAATTCTTTCTCATTTTCGCCTATAGTCTCTATACAAAATATATGTAAAAATATATAAAGAGATAATTTTAGGCAACGGCACTGTATAGATAGGTCATTAAAATTTAAGGAAATAATTTCATATGTGGGAATTTTTTCAAAATTTAAATAGAGAAAAGCTATGAAAGCTCACAGAAATATAAAAGAGCAATTGGACTAACTGATGTACTATTTCGAACGGTTATCAAATATTCTAGAACTGCAAAATTTGAGCAGTAATGTAGCTCTAAAATTTTAATAGAACATTGTAAAATAAGGAAATATCTGACGTTAAATAAGCTGTTTAGCTTACTAAACAAAATTGTTGATATTATGACATTTGCATATTATATTCTATGGAACTTATATCATGACGCCCTTATAAACAGCATAGCTTAAATATGAAAATAAATTTTTTGTGATTGGATTCCAGATATAGTGTAATTTTGTTTTGTTAATTTCACTATACAATTGTGTGTATAATAAAACAAAATGTCCTTTTTAATAAAAAGTTGAAAGCGGGTCATTGTTTTTCCATATTTTTTTTTGTAATTAGATTACAATTAAAATCTCAAAATAATTTATTTGCTTAAAAATTATTCAAAAATTTTCATCCCTCTTTAAATAATCGGAGTGAATTTATAAAAAAAT